GTGCTATGCTCATTGACTACAAGGTCCACACCATCACCAAAAAGACATTCAGAATGAAGGAACCTACACACGGGGGCAACTACTAATGCTTGAGCTGTCCTTGGTTCCGTCAGAGTTGACCACACCTAGTTCTAGGAACTGATGCAATCTTGGGAGTAGTGTTTCGCTACCTTCAAGCCAACACTGTCGTAGGTTCCATCTCAGAATTAGCAACTATTGTCGGCATAGAACCTAACATAGAACCCAATGTAGGATGTCGGTCAGAACATGAATAGTTCAATTACTCCCCAAAAGAAAGACGTTGGCTAGTGGATCTTTTAGCGAACAGAATAAGGATCCGGACCTTTGAAGCATAGGATGCAACCTATGTCCCTAACGAGGATATCAACAGAGCGACCACCTCAACCAAGACTAACAACACCATATCAAAATCTAGGTCCCGAAGAAACAGGCATAGGAGACATCGCAAACACAAGCCCATCAAGATCCGTCTTGGCCTACAAGTGAAGGACCCCCAAACAATCTTAGTGAGAGACCAGGAGGTGACTAGGTCCAACACTCCAACTATAGCCCCGTTCTCTTGGGCCTCACACCTTGCGGTCGAGATCCTTGTATCCCACCGACAAACGGACTTCAAGGCCCTGATTTTGGAGTCTTACGACGACATCGGCGATCTAGTTGACCATGTGGAGAGCTTCCAGTCTCTTATGCAATTACACGGTGTTGTCGAGGCCAGCATGTGAACGACCTTCCTGGCCACTTTCTAAGGCACAACTCGGATGTGGTACTCTACTATATTACTATTGAATCCAATCCAAGTGGTTTATGATATGAAGGAAAACTACTATTGAAGCTTAAATATATTAAAGCAATTCAAAAGAAGTTGTTGATCCTAAAGTTAAATTTAAGCATCATATTTGATCTTTTTAGGATCTAGGTGTAGATGTTATATTAAAGAAAATCAAAAGAAGTTGTTGATCTAAAGTTAAACTTAAGCATTATATCAAATCATTTTAGGATCTAAGTGTAAATTAACTTGATAAAAGTAAATCAAACAAAAATCTCTTTCCCCTATAAAAGGTGGACCTTAGGAGTTGGGTCAAACCAACCGGAAATACTAGAAAGTGACCAACTCGGGTCGAGTTGGGTCAGTTTCATTAGTTTGATGAACATCCCTATATGAAATTAATTAATGTTATTTTGTATTTAAAAATATTAAAAATAATATAAAAATATAAATAATTATTAATTATTTAAAAATTAAATTATAAAACAATTGTCTACTCTTATATATTTCTATTATTTAACTTTCACTTAATAAAGTATGTGCATCACATGGGTCCTTTCTAGTATATTACTAATATTTGAGTGTTTTAAATATTTAAGTAATATTTATAAAAATTGTAACATTTAATCATTAATAAAATAAAATAAGTAAATAAGCAATAATAGATAATATATAAAAATAATATATTCATTATTTTTTAAAGGATCTTTACTAAACACCTATAGTTTCATGAATTTACTAAAACCTACCCTATAGTTTATGTTTTGCTAAAACATCCCTTTTAGTTTGCAATCAATTTACTTAACTGACCTTCTATTAGATGAAAGTGAAAAATGACAGTTTTAACCCTAGTAAAACATGGATAACCACTCTAATCTTCTCTATTTGGTCAATTTTGTTTTCTATACAAAAGTATAAGGGGTACTTTTGGAATAAACAACCATGGATCTGTACCCTTGAACATTTTCTACTCAGTTTAGGGGTACTTTTGGAATAAACAACCATGGGTGAACATTTTCTACTTAGGTTAGGTGATCATGTTACTATATTCAGATGGCAAAACAAATATTTCTTAACGTAAAGTTGATTAAGTAAATAGGTTGCATACTATAAGGGGTATTTTAGTAAAAAGCAACTATAGGGTAGATTTAAGTATATCTGTGAAACTATAAGGGTGTTCTAGTAAATGACCCTTTTTTAAATAAAAACAAGAGGTGCTACACAACCTGGGGGGTAGCACACCCCCAAACATCACTAAAGCAAATCAAAACAAGATCCTTGGGGAGATTACAAGGATTAAAAGAAATCAATCCATCTGAAGAAGAAAGCTCTATTTGCCTCCCTGTACACGTGCTTGTAGCTAACTGTACTCTCCATCTTGTCCTTCATGCAAGCACTCTGTGATGATACTTCTAAGGTTCCAAGGAGGGGAAGACAACCCTTTGAGACAATGAATGTCTAGGTTCAAATCCCCTTCAATGATGATTGAGTGGTTGCAAAAGTTGACCGCCAAGTTATGTGCTTCCCACGGAGCCTAGCTTTAGCCGAGTTGATCGTGAAAGTATCTAAGAAATAGCCTTTGAAGTCCAAAATCCAGGTGGTTCCTCACGATGGCCGCCACGGAACACCTACCATTAGCCATCTATTGGTTCCTTTGAATTCTCTAGGATTCAGAGGGACCCAATAGATGGCTTTCAAACTTCTTAATTCTTTTGTGGAACTTGGATTCTCAGTTAACTCCTCATATTCAGTAAAAGCCCTCAAAGCTCTACCCAAAACAATTTGTGGGGGGTCCTCTTTATTACTGAATGTCTTATGGTTTCTATTTTTCCAAATATGCCAAAGAACAAAGGCACACTTTTCCTTCAAATGGCTCCTCTCACTTAGGTTGTGTTTGTTTCGAAGGAAAAAGGTAAAGAAAGGAAGGGAAAGATAGGGAAACCTATAAAAGGTTTATACATGTTTCCCATCTTTTCCTTTTCTTTCCTTTCCATACCTTTTCCTTCAAACCAAACATGGCCTTAACTCTTTCTTATGAATTTCTGTCCACCATTCGCCAATTTCAAAGTTATTCCCATAAGGACTCCCAATATTCAATTGAAGGTTATTCCAAATTTGATTCGAAGCACTGCATTCAAGGAAAACATGATTGGTATTTTCCTCCATGCCAGCCACATATGCAACAATCACCATCAATATCGAATCATCTCTTTCTTAGAATATCCTTCACAAGCATCTAATATTTAATAGCAAGAACATGAACACTTTTATTTTTGGAGGGATTTTAAGGTTCCACAAAATTGCAACCCAACTTATTGTGTTTGATCTTGATGAATCATCCTCACATTTAAGCTTGTACGTCGATTTCATGGTGAAAAAACCCTTGGGATTCAAACCCTAAATCAATTTATCTTCTCTAGGGCTCATAGGAATAAAAATCGCTTAGATTTTATTCCAAATACTAGGAGGAACAAATATTCTAATTTGATACTCCTCCCACACTCCTTTATCTTTCAAGCAACCTACAAGAGAATTCTCTCCAACCCAATTATTAGTCCAAAATTTAATAAAGTTTCCATTACCAACCTCCCATCTAAGGCCTTTCCTTAAAAGGTGCCTAGCACTCAAGATGCCTCTCCAAGCCCAAAACACTCATTTCCTTTTTCTTGCCTCCCAAAAGTTCTCTTTGTCGAGGTATTTACCCTTCACCATTTTAGTCGACAAACTATCCTCCTTTAGAATTTTCCATCCCAGTAAATGGCCCTTTTTTAAATAGGGCAAATTTCTTAAACTGCCCCTATTATTTAGATAATTAACTAACTGTGCCCTTATTTTTAACTATTGTCTTAAATCGCCCCTATTATTTTTGACAATTGACTAGTTCTACCCCTATTATTATGGTCGTTAATATTTGGTCAAAATCCATATGCATGTGACACCAGGTAATGTATAAAATTTTTTAAAAACCCAATATTACCCTTTATCCCTCTTCTATAAGCCAGGTAAGAATCACCCCGAGTTGGTGGGTTCATGCATGCCATTGCCACTGCCGCTCACTTACACGCTATGGTCGTTGGCGTGTTGTTTGAATGACGGAAAGAGGGAGATGGAGAGAAGGAGGGACAACCCAGGGGAGAGAACGTTGGCGCATGGCCTGAACGACGGAAAGAGGGAGACGACATGTGGCATCTATTTTTCTGTTCTCTCCGAGTCCGATGAAAGGGAGCTGCCATTAGTATCAATTGACCCAAATGCTCTTCACTTTTTTGTTCTCTTCGAGTCCGACGAAAGGGAGCTGCCAACAATAATTTTCTTCAGGGGTGACTAGCTTGCTGAAAGGCGTTATCTTGACCCATAAGAGCTTGATCTCAAGAGTGACTGATTTTGATGAACCTGTTTAACACTTCTGGTTTTGATGCACTCCTTCACTCCCTACATATTCAAACTATAGTTTTGATGAACTTTTTTAACAAATGCAGCTTCAAACTGTGAGGTCTTGGGAAAGTTGAGAACACAAGGTTTTCTCACCATCATCGCTTCGCTTCTTTGTGCCGTGACCAACTTTACGATTGGAGTCTAGCCTTTTGGGTGTCAATGTAGTTTAAATGGATTCAGATCGAGAATCCTTCCATCGTCCTCACTTTTGAGCAACTTCTTGATCGAAGTTTGGGTGTTACTCACCTATTTTTTATGAAAATCAAGAAGAGATTTCTTGCTCAACACTGAAGGGAGAAAAGATAGACTATCTTGATCAAAGAACAGAGAACGAGTCACATGAGTGAATAGCTCAAAGAACCATACACAATATGTGTGGCTCTTGTGCTGACACATTGGACTTAGGTTAGATATTAACCCCAAAGGACTTCTGTGGTAAGGAGCATAGCTCGAAGTGGTGATGCACACAAATGGTTCTCACTCCCAGATGCTTGCGAGGGGTTGACGTTAGGGTTGTAAACGGTATTTGATTATTCGATTCCGAATTCGATATTCAACTTAATTGAACCAAATTCGAATGGTTCAATAAATTTAATGGTCGAATTCGAATTTATACATTTTACCGATTAATTTATCAATTCAAATTCAAATTCAAATTCAAATATAGGGGTTATATCAATTTAAACTTAAAGAGGGGTCATGTCCATACTAACCTACTCGAGTGGTCCTTCTCCATAACCCCTCCCCTCCTCTCTCTCTCTCTCTATTGTCCTCCGTCTTTTTTATTCGCAATTTGTGCAAGTTGCGCGCACCAAGCAACCACCATTCATGTTTTATGATCAATTTCCTCTACAGCTTTTCAAGAATAACAAGTGGTGCATTTGCTCACTTTGTTTTACGTTTTTTCAGTTTACTCTGTTTTCTTATATTTTTTGTTCAATGTCTTGCCGCTGACGTTTCTCTTGTTCAATGTTTCGTTGCAGATGCCACGTATCACTTGTTAATTTTATTTTTAAAAGATGGGATCTACCTCCTCTTTTCAATTTTCTCAATGCATTTAGCTTTGTTAGGGTTTACAAGAAAAGTGAAAGTAATGAGCCGAATTCCAACCAAATCAAATATTCAATATTTTAATCCATTTTAAATTCAGTTGTTGGTTTTACATCTCGCATGGATATTTAATTAAATTCGAATAATTTTTCCTATAATTTAATTCAAATTCAGATATCATTCGACCTTTTCTCCTCCTTGCCTTTCTCCACAATGATGATTCGACCTTCAAGTACCGAGTGATCCAGACACTCGATGCAACGATCAGCCTCCTTAACCATAGACATTGTGACAAACCCAAAGCCACGACACTCTCTTGTCCAAGTACAGTAAAATGAACATCTGTAATCGTTCCTGTAGGTTGAGCGTTGCACATTAGCCTTCCGAGCGCTGCACATTGTGGGTGCCGATAAGAAAGTAAAGCTGAGCTTCCTGTAGGCCGATGGATCAGCTACTATCCTGGCTTACGATGAGAGGAAGCTTTTCGGTGTGATTACCCTTGATGTTGTTAGGGCTAAAACCTTCTACACCGGAAAGGCCAAAGTTCCGATTGCCATATACTTCTATTTTCACCATTTGGATGTGCTTTGAGAGTCCTAGATTCTTTCCGATTCTGTTCTTTTGGAGGGCAAGTTTTTGCAAATTTGAAAAATAATGAAGGGCAAAAGGGGATATTTCATCCGTTCTGTTATGATTTAAGATAAGGGGTAGTTGAAAAAATTTGCCCTTCTAAATAACATTGCATTCGTTCCACTTTTTATCTTGATAAATCCATTATCGCAGAGTCCCCGCTATTAGTAGATTGCTTTCCTCCATTTCTCCTCTCTCACTCTTCACGATCATGGAGAAATACAGAACTCTAGAAATCGTTCAAGAAACCCCATACTCCCATGTTTTTAGAGTCTACCTAAACCTCCCGTCCCTTCGGAACGCTCTCTCTGCAGATTTCTTCTCCGAATTCCCAAAAGCCCTCTTTATCCTCGACGAAAACCCACAAGTGAGTGTCATCGTCCTCTCCGGCCACGGCGATCATTTCTGCTCCGGAATCGACCTCAAAACCGTTAACTCGCTGCTCTCAACCAGTTCACCCACCGAGTATAACGACCGCGGTAGAGCCGCAGAACGTCTCCGGCGATCTATCAAGGGATTGCAGGATGCGATAACTGCCCTCGAACGGTGCCGCAAACCGATAATCGTCGGAATACAAGGTGGGTGCATAGGAGGCGGGATCGATCTCGTGACGGCCTGCGATATCAGGTACTGTACAGAAGACGCGTTCTTCTCGGTGAAGGAGGTTGATTTGGCGATCACGGCTGATCTCGGGACGCTTCAGAGGCTGCCGGGAATCGTCGGATATGGAAACGCGGTTGAGTTGGCCCTTACCGGTCGGAGGTTTTCTGCGTTGGAGGCGAAGAGCATGGGTCTGGTCTCTACGGTTTTTCGTTCCAAGACGGAGATGGATGAACGCATAAGAGCTATTGCTGAGGGGATTGCAGCGAAGTCACCGTTGGCTGTGCTCGGAACGAAGGCGGTGCTACTGAGGAGCAGGGAGCTTACCGTGGATCAGGGGTTGGATTATGTTGCCACATGGAACTCCGCGATGCTCCTTTCTGATGATTTACCAGAGGCAGTCTCAGCACATATTCAGAAGAGAAAACCCATCTTTGCCAAGCTCTGAGAACTGATATTTGAAGCTTGAATGACATCCCCACTCATACAGACTGAGTGGGACTAGGTATCGTTCTCCTACGTCTCCGTAGATTCAGAGGAACTAATCAGGGAGAGAAGCAATAGTGATACCACTGTATCATTTCTACAGTCTTGTATAAATAGATAGAAACATTTGAATTGAAATATTTCCTTTCTGCAGTGCACTCTTTTCAGACAAGGAGCAAATAGAAGGAATAAATGTACATGGATTTCCCCTAAATAAAGGACGCATTTGCTAAAAAGATACAGGCTGTTAGGAGCCAAATGCACATTCTTGATGCTGTGAAGCGACCATTCCTTTGCTATCATCAATGTTGATTACATTTTTTATTTCATTGGATCTTTATACATTTTTTTTGATAATATACAAAAGCTCCAAAAAGTTCCTATACAGTGGGAGACTGTACAATCAGAATAAATTAATCAGGTGAGATGAAAAAATTGGCCTTCCTGATTACTTCCTCATTCTAGTACCTCTTATTGCCAAAAGTTCTGTTATGTTCCTTCCACATAACCCAAATAACAGCTAAGGGAATACAGCTCCAATCTAATTTAGTCCTCCTGTTTGGATCCTATGCCATCTTGCCAAGTATCACAGTTTGATATAGGAAAGCACCAGCTGTGATTGAAAAACTAAAAGGAAACGGTTCCAAATCATTGAACTCAACTGATAGTGAATGAAAGATGATCCGCCAACTGCTCTTCAAACTGACAATATGTGCATCTTGATGAAAAGATTACAATGGCTATCCTATGCAATTTGTTCTTAGTGAAGCACTTTTCTGACACTGCAGTCCAAACCACAAAAGCGACTTTCTGTTCAGCCAGGCATCATCCATCATCATCTAAGCCTTATCCCAACTATATGGGGTTGGCTACATGAATCCTGGTTAACTATTCCATTCTATTTACTGCCATATCCATTGTTAAACCTTTGGTTCTTTAATCATATCTTACTACTAACCATGTCCTTTTTGGTCTAACCCTAGCCCTTCTAGCTCCTTCAACTTGCAACATATCACTTCTTATGGCTGCTGTTGATGGTCTTTTGTGCACGTGACCAAACCATCTTAGTCTACTTTCTCTCATTTTATCACCTATTGGAGCTATTCCTAAATTCCCTTGAATGACTTCATTTTTGATCCTATCCTTTCTAATTTTCTACTCGTCTATCTCAGCAATAGAATTTTTCTACCTTTGTAAATGTATACAGGTTTTTCATGTTTTTATGTTTGAAGTGAATAATTATTGCTCTTCATCAGGTTGATTCATCTACTTGCATGATAAATGTATTGCATATTTCTATCTTCCTTCTTGGTACTTTTGTTTGGAATTCTGTAAATATGTACTCAACATGTGTCTCAGGTTTCATTTTGTTATTTTAGTATCAACTAAGCATGTTTTTTTTTTTTTGATAATCAACATAACTTTCATTAAAAAGAAACCCCGCTAACAGGAAAGCAGGCTAGGATACAAAAAAGGGCTTCCACAAGACAGCCCAGAACCAAACAACAGAAATACAAGTAGCATATTTTAGGAATGCATTTCAATTTTACGATAGAATGGAGCTTGTACCCAATGAAGTCAGAAACTTCTGCACAATAGTGGAAAGCATTTTGTGGATTGGTGGGCTAAGAAGGTGAGTTGAGGTCTATCATCAATTGGACTCAATTTGATATATGACACATATCATAGTCAAATTGTTTTCTTAAGATTTACAGCCCAACGCTTAGTTATCAAAGGAAGTAAGGTGAGAATAGACAATAGGGTACCGTTTTGTTGCCTAAGGACTTCAGGCCCCACCTAAGTGCTGGTTACGTAATGCTTTTTTTTTGACAAATAAGATGTATAAAAATATTGATAAAAAAATAAGATGTATAAAAATTTATGGGATATGAACCATGTTAACATGTGCCATATTTCAATTTCTTATTATTTTTATTGAAAAACACTAAAAGAAAGAGTAGTAAAAACTTCTGAAAGAAAGTTATTAATCGCGAATTTTTGCATAAAAGGACACATTACATCTGTTAAGGAGTTCGGTTTATGTTTATAGTTTTCTTGTGTTCTATGTTTATGGTGTGTATTAGTCATAGATTTATTACTTCAAGAGAAGATCGGTAATCATCAAGAGTGGTTATTTAATTAAGTTTTGGTCCCTTATACATACAAGTGTGTATGTATCAATAATTGAGAGGTCAGTAGGAGCAACGAATTGAATCTCACAACCTGTTCTTTTCTCCCACTCCAATTCTCCTTTATTTCTCACATTTTGTGGGGTTCTCAAGGCTGAACTGGCTTCATTGTATTAGTGCAGTAGATTGAACAACTCATTCTCCTTCTCCTCTCTCTCTTTTTCTCTCTCTAATTATCTATCTATCTATCTATCTATATACCCCTTGCTCTTCTAGCCCCTTCCACATGTAACAACTCACTTCTTCTAATCGGAGCTGTTGGTGGTCTTTTATGCACATGACAAAACCATCTTAGTCTACTCCTAGGTTTCTACTGATGGCTTCATTCTTGATTCTATCCTTTCTAGTTTTTCCACTCATCCATCTTAGTATTCTCATTTCTACCACACTCACTTTTAGAACATGCTGTTTCTTGACTGCCCAACACTGTGCTTCAATTTGGGGTATCTGCATGCAGTGCGGGTTAAACTAGAAGATGTGCCCTGCTCGATCGAGGTCTTCTCTGATGGTATTTGGAATAGGGTTTGGCTGCTCTCAGAAGTTGGAGTAATGTGGTGGAGGGAGGCAATCAAGGTTGAAGATGCTTCTGATGTGGCAGTAGGGCATGCACGTGGAAGACTTGGAGAGGAAATGAAAATGGGTAGAGGCAATGCAATTAAGGAAGCTGAACAATCAAACAATGATGGAGGATTTGACTAGTTTAGAAACAAATTCAAATTATTTTGAATTAAAGGGAAGGACAAAGTGTAATAAAACTCATGCTGATGTGGCTCGAAAAGAAAAGCTTTTTTTGAGTCAAGTAAAAAGTTGGACAAGACCCTATGGTTTAATCCTAAACCGGTTGAGACCGGTAATGGTTCGGTAGCCGGACCGAGTAAGGAGAAACTTGGCTTATGTGATAACTTAATCCACCATGTGAGTTGGGGAGAGGAGAGTGTGCTGAAGACTATGGATGATAGAAAACCTCTATCATTGTTTCAAATGAGGAACATTGATGCAGGTTATCAGAGAGAGGTGCTTTTGAAGGGGAAAATAATACAAAATGGATCGCTACTATGGGTGTAGAGGCAGGAGACATCAGCAAAAAGTATTCCTTCGTCTTCAAACAATTGCCCTAACCCTAGATATTCGAGAGGCAGTCGAAGAAAGGGACGATGAAGATGATGGTTGGATTAACATAGCGAGAGCAGAGAAGATTGCCTGGAGGAATGGAGAGCGAGTGAGAAGAGAGGGAATTCATGCAGGTAACCACCTGGAGAAGGTTTCAAAAGGCTGAGGCAAAAGAACTACTCTTTGAAAGGTACAAGGTAAAAGGGAAGATCACACTAAAGATTAGGGAATTGAGAAAAGCTATGGTACTGCTGGTAGGGCTTGATGTGGTTAAATGGCTCAGAGAGTTTGTGGAAGGTGCACTACAAACTGGTAAAAAACAGAATGGAAGAGCTCGGAAGAAGAAGATGAAAGAAGATGGAGCAAAAAGGGTAGATTTTTGGCTTTGTTTGAATACTATGGAGAAGGAAAGAAACAACTACTATGCATCCTGAAGGAAGAAATGGTTCAAGCTGGAATACAGGACTTCCTGAAAATGGAGGAGGAAAGAAAGGAGATAAAACAACGCATTGCAGACTTAGAAAAACCTTGTTCTGAGAAGACAAATGTTTCGGGAAAACAAATTCTGGTGAGTGTATTGGGGATTGATAAACTGGTTTGCAACACAGAGAAAGAAGATTGGGAGAAGAAACTGGTGGTTGAAGTAAAAAAGAAACCAGAAAACTGGCGGATGGTAGCAGTTGACTTAATCAAGAATTTGAAGGTAAATGGCCCGGTACTCATCACCCCTTTTGAAGACCGTAAAGTAGTGCTTGATTTGTTGGAAGATAATTTAGATATGAGGGCAGTAAATCTTTAATTGAAGACTGGGACAACTACAGTATGAGTTGGTGTAACCATTTTGGTTTACCCTTCCATTTATGGAAGTTGGAGGTCTTTCAATTGATTTGTGCAAGGCAAAACTTCAAGGAGTGTTCTTATTAGAACTCCAGTCAATGGCCATCCGAGTGAGTGGAGTGAAGCCTGAAGAAATCCCAAGAAAGGTAGAGGTGTTTATGGATAATATTGTACTCAGCCTTGCTTTTAACCTCCATTGAAGCTACTCTATAGAAGGACTCTAGGTGTTTACGGATAATAGTTTTTACTCAGCCTGGCTTTTAACCTCCACTGAAGCTGCTCTATGGAAGGATTCTAGGAGGTTGAAAGATGAAGAGGTTGAAGAAGATTACTTATGTGGCTCACAAAGGTTGGCTCATTTCAAATTAGCTAAAACTTACATGGAAATGGAATGTCTAGGGACAAAGAATGAGAAAGGATGGTTGATGAGGGGTAAAAGTGACCTGCCAATTATTCACTTCTACATGGACACTCAAAATCACCTTGAGCTACCTCGACATCTTATGTGGTAGGACCTCGGAAGAATGCTCCTCGGTAGATCGGCTTACACCGCCCAAGTAATGTCGGCTCCGCTTGAAAGCAGATTGGTAGGATTGACCAAGAAGGACAATAACAACCTTGGGCCACTTATGTGACTTGGACAACCGACGACATGGCAAGCTATCTTACCTCGTAGAGTTTGACATACATGGCCTACCCACCTTGATCCGTTTGAGCCACTTAGTGATCATGAGATATGTGGAGGGCACGTCGCCCACATGGCGACTATTACCCCGATTTCTCTTGTTTCTTGGGGAAACGATGATAGGCTAACCTAGTGACCATTCCCGAGTATCCCCCGAATTTCGGTGGTAAGGCCCGTTACCTCCAAGTATGGCGAGAACGTTTTGATCGAATCCAAGGTTGTATACAAGGGCGGCCCATTGCCCTCTAACAGTACGCTCTCATTAGCTCTAATACTCTTCCTCTCACTCTATTATGATCTATGCTCTCAACTCTCTCTCTCTCTCTCTCTCTCTCTCTCTCGTAGCTCGGTATTAACTTGACCGCCGAAGCTCCTTTGCCCGGGTCCACCCCTTGGGCTTTTTGATGCATGCTTTCCTTGTAGAGCCGACTTGCTGACCTACTCATCCTTCGTTCGAGTCGTCAGTCCAACAGAGACCGATGTAGTTTGAGCATCATCAATTGGTG